GTCTGTAATGCACGAACCGGACACAAAGCATTCAACCTCTGATCCTCGGTGGAAGAAAAAGGTGGAGGGTGAAAAGCGGACAGCTCCACCACCTCCGATGTAAACGCAGGGAACCCGGCTTTTCTTAAAAGCCGGGTTCGGCTTAAGAAAAACCTTATCTCCACTAAGAGAGAATTTAGATTTTTGGAGAGCTGCACGTCAGGCTACGGCGTAGGGTGTGTGTCTATGCGTAGGTTCGACGCAGAAGTATAAATAGGGCTTTAGACTTTCGCCTAGCTCCGCTCCGCGAGCCTCTGCTGACTGCGTGCGCACCTTCCCAAACGGACGAGGCTTTTATACTTGTCGCGTTCGCCATTGTACTATTCTTTGAAACGACAGGGGACAACGAGGAGTAATTGTTCTCTAAAACCATCGGGAATCACTGGTGAGAAGAAGTAATTTGCCAGTACAAGACTTCTCGCGTGATGAATGAGTTGATGAATTAATAATTTCTTTATGTACAAACTGATTAAAACAATCACTATTGGCTTTATTCAAACACAAGACAACTTTAAGCAAATAGTGTATAAATAGTATCTAAATGAATTCTAATTCTATTTTTATACAATAAAAATAAAACGTACTTAAAATAAAAAGCCTTGGACAAACTATGCAAAAAACGGCATTGTTTTCCGTCAAAGCGTCAAAAATCACCTGATGGAGTTTGAACTTCACATCAAACTGCTTCTGTTTCACACAAATGCCGGCACAGACGTGCATGTTCAGCTAGAATCGCCCTGAACTCGTGCATCTTTGGATGCGGAGCTGCGCGGAAATTAAAAAAAAAATGGCGTGCACACCGGCACGCGAAATGAGTTCGCGCGCACTCAAAGCGAACTTGCGGATGCGTCGAGTCAGCCTTTATGCATATGGCACACAAAAGTGGAAACACTTCAGGAGTTTCGAAGTCGTCATCGGATTGGTTGAATTCTACAGGATTTCCGGGAGACGTGTGTGTCGCGTTCTTTAACGTTCCGCCTGGAAACAAAGATGCCGTGACGCCAAACCCCCTCACGAAAGAAGAAAGCCGTCGTGTTTACAACTGTGACGACGAGCGCTTATCAGGATCAACTAAACGCTGGATTCTCAAAAGTATGTGAAAAATTTAAAGTTTGCGGCACAGAATCTTTAAAATACGTCAGAGTTTTACACACCAGTCTGTTATTGCGGGCGACATGTCCCCGCCCCGAAACGTGATGCTGAAACGAAACGAACTGTGATTGGTTGTTTGACATGTCAGTCAAATGGCCTCATGGGCGGGCTTTGGCCAATGAAAGCTGCCATGGATTCCAGACCTTCAGCCGGGTTGTTGGAGGAACGGAGTGGGGCGTCATGGCGAAGGAAAGACGCCGTGGCGGGTTTGGCGATGACTGTGGTGTGAATGAAGAGAATGACGGAAGTAGCATAGAAGAAGAAGATGATTTTGCAGATTTGAATTGTGGAGAGTGGAATCAGGTAGAGCTGACATCTCAGAAACGGAAAGACAGAGGCTCAGATTCGGAAGAAATCGGGGGAGAAGGAGGAAGGAGTAAAACAATGCGGACGGAGGATGAGTACAAGGTTATGTTTACATTCGCAACAATGGGAGAAATGAGTAATCCCATGCGATTAACCAAGGTTCTCAAAAAAGCATTGGGAAACATTAAATCTGCAAAATACCTATCAAACAATCGAGTGCTTGTGTTCTGTTTGAACAAAAAGCAACAAGAGATGGCTATTAAGATAAAAGAATTGGGAGGAATAGGAGTGAAATG